GTGTGTGTGTGTGTGTGTGTGTGTGTGTGTTTAATTTAGTTGGCATCTTGTTTTCTGGTGCATACATGTTTATAATTGTTACCTTTTTCTGTTGCGTTGTTTCCTTAACCATATGTGATGACATACTTTGACTTGTCTGCTCAGGTTTTGAATGAAAACCACTTTGTCTGAAAACAGGATATCTACCCCTGCTTGTTTTGGGGCTCCAGTTGCATGGACTATTTTTCCATATTTTGACTATTAGGCTATAAAATTTTTGGATTAACTGTTTATTGTATACAGCATACTCTTGAGTTTTGATTTCTGATCCGTTCTACCAGGGTTGGTCTTTTATGAAGGAATTGAAACCATTCTTCTCATTGCATTATTTTCATACTGCTGCTTCACATTTTTCTCCCTTCTGCTTAACTGTTCATCCTGCCTAGTATATTCTCATTGCACTTTTTGGCACTGTAAGTTTCATAGTCTCTTTTTAGAATACTTTACGAATTTTTTAGTGTTGTTTAAGTGGCCATGAATGTCTTTAATTGCTCTTTGTCAGGGCCAGTGGTTCTGCCGCCTGCCTCATAAGCGCAAGGACCTGAGTTCGATCTCCGGTACCAAAAATAAAAAAATGCTCTTTGCCATGGAAGGACCTTATTTATCCATTAACTTTTAAAGATAGTTTTACAGGATATATCAGTCTGGGTTGGAAGCTCTTTTGTTTTTGACTTCAATCCAAGATCCCTGGCCTTTAAGATTTGTATTGAGAGGCATAGCATAATTCTAATGAGTTTATAATTAAGTGATTTGTTGCTTTTAAGATTCTCTTATTTTGTTGGACATTTGGGATTTGATGTTGATGTGTCATGGAGAAGTTCTCATATAGTGAATATTTGGGATTTTATATGCCTAGTTTATCTGTATTTTAAATTCTTTCCCTTAATTTGAATTTTTTTCTGCTACTATTTACATGAACAGGTTTTTTTATGTCATTTATGTTGTCTTCTGATTTTTCCTAATTCCCTTTAATTTTACATAAATATTCTTTGTGTCACCTAGCAGTTTTGGATCCATTCTTTAGGTTCTCTCATTGCTTTTGATACATCTGTGAGTATGTATCACTGACCTCAACCATGTCTTCCAGTTTTAATACTCTGTTCCTACATACGTCACTTCTACTGCCTATACTTTAGTTGTAATATAATTAAATTTGTTAAACTAATGGCCTGATGCTAAAATTTAGATGGTTCTTGTTTTTCTCTGTGTATCAAAAAGTTGCATAGAATTTCTTTTTCCTATTCACTAAGTTTATTGGTACATTTTAGGTATATAATATAATGACATTCATCATTGGGACTTTGTAGCTTTACATGATATATCTTGGTTCTTATTTTTTCCCTATTCTCCTCCCATCCCTTTAACCCCTCTATGCCTCTCTATTTATAAAGAATTTGCTTCTGTTTTTTCTTTTTCTCATATTTTTTTACTTCACTTCTTTCCTTTCCCCTACCCCTCCTACTTCCACTTTCCCTTCCCATTTGGATCTTTTCTTCCTACTTCACATTGTCTATTATACATTTTGATTCTCATTTACACTTTGTTTCTCATACCAGAGGAATTCAGTATTTACACATTTGTGTCCTATTTATTTCATTTAAG